CAAAGGAACAAGCTCTGACAGGTTGTATTATTATTATTATTATTATTATTATTATTATTGCCTTGTAAGTCATATATTTAACTGTTCAAAGAGTAAATTAAATCGGCCTTTCTGGAGTTATTAAATGAAATGTGTCACTATAGAGCTGAAGTCAGTTAAATGTAAAACATTATTAATATCTGGATCATTTTTCACTATTTGATGATATTTTAAAGAGCCAAACGGTCCAGTGGTGGTCGGCAGTGAGTCTGTAACCATCAATAATCTAAACCCTACAGACCTCATCAGAATCAGCTTTGACCTTTTGGACTTTAAGAGTAGGAGGTCTGATGAGTGATGATGTTGGATGTTAGCGGGACCTTTGGCTCAGATTATGGACGATCTGATGAACTAACAGTGAATCTGCGTAGTCCAGTAAGTCTGTCTGTCTCTCCAGCGTACAGGAAGGGGACGACAGGGAGCCTACAGAATAAAGTTAAACAGGATGTCTGGGAATAGTACAGATTTCACTCCTTGAAGGCAAACAGTGAAAAGGGAAATTTTAATAATGATCGTGTTAATATCGCAATTATGTTGGCCAAGATAATCGAGACATAAGATCTTCATATCGCTCCTCCTGAGCTCACACTTTGTGGACAGTTTGTCCTAAAATTAAAATAAACCCATAAATAAATCTCCTTGCTTCCAATATCACAGTATATTGAACCCGTGTATTGTGGTGAGTATTGTCAGACTCCGGCCGTTCATCCTGTTTAAGAGTTAAAACAGATCTTGTGTGATTGTTAATGAAAATTGTTAAGCTTTAATGTTATTGGCTCACAGTGAGAGAGTACGGTGGCCAGCAGGGACAAAGTTACAGGATAAAAACAGGGATCGGTCTGGGTTTGAATCCGGCTCCTGTTGCATGTCATCCTTCCTCTCTTTCTTCCTCTCTCCATCCTTCCTCTCTCTCTCTCTCTCTCTCTTTAATGAGGTCAAATCTTGAATCATTCGACCTGTTTTTATTCAACGCTGATGATTTGTTTCCTGTTGGAGTGATTTTGAATGCGGGCCCTGCTTCCAGTCCTCCTCTTTTGTCGCCGATCTGATCCCTCTTTCTCCCTGTCTGTCTGTACACACCTGTCTGTCCATCCATCCTGTCTGTCTGTCTGTCTGTAGGAGCTCGGAGAAAATGATTACGATTCTGGGTTCAGAGTGAGTATGAGAGCCGCTGAGAGCACCGACCGCACGCATCCTGCACACAGTTTGTCTACAGCACTGACACAGCCGTAAATACACCCACACTGGTTACTGACAGCTTTGGTGGAGGTCACTTTGTCGGGGGGACACGGGGCTGTCGGGGACTACATCTTCTCTGTTCATGTGAAACTTGAGTAAACGTCCAACAGTGTTTATCACCGGCCATGAAGCTGCATCGAGTATTATTCAGCTAAAAGTAATCACATCAGTTTTGAGCCTTTGTGAACTGCCGCCGCTCACACGCCACCAAAATCTTCATCTTGTTTTGTTTTTGCCAGTTTGAGACGGCACATCCACCCAACTATACGCAGCCATACAGCGCACAGGCGGTTATTACTGTCACACAACGCGCTGTGGGCGTGGATCGTTTAAAGCAGACGGCTCGTAGCTGCTGGGTAGCTCACTAACTGAGGGACGTTACGATACTTAAACAGGGACTTTTTATTTCTTCTTCTGTGGCAGCAAACAACCTAATGTTACAGACACTCACTCTCACTGTGAGGACAGATTACCCACAATCCCCCTTCCTTAAAGAGGAAGGCTCGGCGGTTTCACACAGTGCAGTTAGGCTGTGGGTGGAGGACGGATCAATACTTTACTGAAGTGAAAGTACTACTACCACAGTTTGATAATCCTCCACTACCAGCACAGACGGAAACTGATCCGGATACTTTCCTCTTTTTACTTCTGGTCTATTTCTACTCTAGCTTTAATGAAGCTAAAATATTTCTTATCCGATCACTCGATCGATAGCTGCAGTCTTTAAGAACATGTGATGCAGATTAGGTGACGTCACAATAGGTACGGTGGGCAGTGAGGGTCACACCTCTTTCAAAGTTTGTGTTTTTATGTATTTAGGGATGTTTTAAAGGGGTGAAAATTATCAATCTGCATCAAGCCTGACAATATAATGAGATGTATCTATTGGTGAATACAGTATAAAGGTATGAAATACTGATATGGACACAGGATCAATCCTCATGCAAGTTTTTTTTGTGTCTTTTGAAATAACTGATTCTAGCTAATATTTGCATTGTTTTGAGTACCCATTGAGTGTACAGTACCTACTAAAATTATGGTTTTGTATATCAAAAAGCAACTACATTCTGATGTGCCAAATCCATGTCATATTTTTGCTCTGTCCATCCATCTCTGCAACATCTGTTTTCTGTTTCTGCTGATTTATTGACTGACAGCAAGTCAGCTGAACCTCAGGCCAGGAGAGTTTATGTTGTCTGTGGTTCATACAGTAGCCTCATTCTTGTCTCCTCTGATCTCTGCCTTGCTGGCCTGAGAGAAAAGAGACAAGGCAGAGCGATGCTGAGAAACAGGAGGTGTGGAGGACGAAGAGAAAAAGAGAGAACTGAGGGAACAGGAATAGAGAGTGGGGGCAACGTAAGAGGACTAGAGAGAGGGAATGAAGAGATTTCTCTGAAGATCAGAGCTAACTGTGACCTTGTAGAGCAAATACCAAGGCTGAGTCCTCCCCTAAGAGACAGCCGTTCATCTCCAGGCAGGACATATTAGACTAAATACACAAGCTCAGAACAGGTACATGTTGTTAGACTCTTGTTCTACTGTAGTTAACAGTTGCCTTTCAGAGCACGTTGCGTAAATATGTAAACATAATTTGCTCAGTGGATCCCCTTATCTTTCAGACTTAGAGTGATAAAATTTTCTGCGAAGAAGGGTGATTTTGTCTTGATTGTTACCTCTTCAATGGATGAGTGCTTTGCTCTGGAAATTTAGAAATGGGTTTATGTTAAAATGTTAAGGGCTAAGTTTAAGGTAAGGATAGGGTTTAAGAAAAGAATGTGGGAAGGCCTCACAAGTATAGGAAGATAAGTGTGCGCGTGGAACGCAAAGTGAAGCAGTCTGTGTCTGGAATGTCATGGCAGAGGCTGCTGATTTCCAGCCCGATAGGTTGTCTTTGAACTACATTTACAGTCCGATCGCAGGCAATGGGAACACGCACACAAACCTCCGTCTGCCTGTCTCATACACAAGCACAAAAAACACACTTTATCCACCTTTTCCCCACCCTTGGTTCAGTCATGGGCATTGGTTTCTATTTTTATTACGCCCGTTGTTCTTTGGCATGAGGGTTGCTTCCATCATGTCTGGGTCATAAACAGGCTGCACAAATACACAGAGAATGCTCTGACGGCTAATTACGTAGATAATTAGTTCATTTATAACATTTCCAGTCAGGGGCATGAATACCAGCAGTGCCAGAGGCCATGGCGCACGCACACATGCACACACACATCATGATCCATATTAGAGAAGTCAACACATTCATCTTAGCCAGTGCGGAAAGAAGTGCAGAATAACACTGTTAGCACAGCAGGATCGTGTATGTGATCTTGTCACTGAAGGAGAGGAAGCACTAATGAGTCCAACTGTATTAATGAGTACACAGTTTCAACCTAGACCACAGACATCAGGGCTAATGAAGCATGCTACTTGCTACTGTCTGTTGCGGTCTTGCGGAGCCAGACGGACGACCACGGGCAAGACGAGAAGTCCAAAGGTCAAGATCCACAGTTGATAGATAGGAGGGCTCAACCATGGCCGATTGCTTTTTGATTGGCTGCGTTCCGGCTGCTTGTCACCTAATACGAGCCTCCTATAGCACTTTAAAGAGTGAAGGCGGGGCTACCTCAGTTATCCTGTTACCTCCTTTCGTCTGCTCTGCTGCCCTAAATCTCTTCTCTGTCGCTTCCTCCCTCTGCAGCATATACACCCCTCTGTTCCTGACCTCTCTGCCCTCTGTAATTCTCCCAAGCAGATTCACAGTTATAGTTTTCCTTTTTCTCCATAATATATATAATATAAGTAAACAGCATCTTCTTCCTCACCACCCATCACCTTTTTTTTTTTTTTACCCGCTCACCCCTGAACCCTCACTACACCCCACCCCACCCCACCTCACCCCCCTTCAGTGCCCTCTTCCAGCAGAAGACAGATGCTCAACACGCGCTGGCAAAATCTGCTCCTGCTTTCATTCTGCATTCCTTAACCTTTGTTTTTTCAGTTGTCTTTCTTTTCTTTTTGTCTTCTCCTCTGTTTCCCACTATGCTTGTCCACTGCTTTCTCTTTTCTGTCGCTTGTCAAGTTAAGTTAATTCTGTGTGAAACATGTGTGAATCTGTGTGCACACATGTTTATTAAAAACCCAGTCTGAATGGTGTCCTTTTAGTGGTTTGGGAGAGTCCCAACATATTTATAAAGATGTATAAGAGGAGCTGTAAATAGATGTGTGTTTGTGTATGTATACACATCTATTTATCAGCCTACTCTTCTGTGGATTTCTGTGAAGCCATCAGTCACTAGCGGCTCCGGGCAGTTATGTCTAGAGAATGGTAGTGCCTGTACTACTCCCTGTCCACCCTCTTTTGTCTTTGTCTTTTTTATCTTTCGCAACTTCATCATCTTGCCCTCTGTTTTTGGCTTACCGTCTCTGTCTTGCTCTTGTTTTTCTCCCTGCCAACATCAGTATCTGTAGCTTCCTCCTTTAAGTCCACATCCATCAAGTACAATACTTCCTTGCTCATTTATCTGGACTAGTGACTCCTCCACTCCCATTTAGCGAGATAATCTGGTCTTGATTGATGATGGGGCGGTAGGTTGACCACATGACTGAGACAGAGTGATGACCAGGTAGATGGACGGATAGTAAAAGCTGCAACTCATGACTGTGAGCCAATGGTTAGGGCTCTTTATTCACATTATTTTTGTCTCTTCTCTCTGTATCTCCAGAGCAAAGAGGTTGGCGTACAGCTGCAAGAGGACATGATGAAAGTTCTTAATGAGCTTTACACGGTAAGAGAAATCACTGGCATTGCAATCACAAAATATATATCCATCTGTCCATAATTATGTGTTGCGATATCTTGAATCTCATACAGCTCAATGGGGAGAGCATTGAGCTTGCAGTGTCAGGGTTAGCGACCTGTTTCTGACAGCTATTATGGGACGCTAAAAACTGCTTTTAAAAAGTGCTTTTTGAACGTTACTTAACAGCATATTTCAAAACAAAAGGTACAATGTATTTTACTGCAGATAAAAATGTGTATGTCTATATATAACATAAGCAGTCAAAAAGCTTACAGACAACACGAAAACATGGCATGGAGATTAAGGAGGCAACTTGGCTACAATCAGTTAAGGATTAAAGATTTTTAGCCACATGAAATGTTTAACAAACATCCATGATCCCCAGAGGAAGAAGCATATTTGACTGTGGTGATTCCCTGACATTTCCTCCAGTGCCACCATCGGGTTGACATCTATGATTTTGGGTTAAGTAGTTATTCCACAACACATGACCAAATACCTGCACAACTAATGACATTCCCATCAGTCTCAGCTGAACTTTGGACTCATTAGCAAATGTTTGCATGCTAAACTAAATCATGTTGATCATAGTAAACATCATAGCACTTTAGCGTTGTCATTGTGAACGTGTCAGCATGTTGGCTGCCGTTTGCTTTCAGCGCAAACCACCGCTGTGCCTAAGTATAGCCTGACAGAGCTGCTTGCATGGCTGTAGACTCTTGTTGATAGAAGTATGTTTTATAAATCAATTTAACGAATGACACTAAATATACTGTACGATCATGCTTCTGTCAGCCACTGTTGTGCATGTCTGTTCTAATTGGACGGTCTGATTTGATCATGACTGTCTGTTGTTTTGATCTTCTCACGCTGTCAGGGGCATCTGAGCGTCTGCTTACACATGTCTATGGTACTGCCAAAAGGACTGAGGCAATGAGAGTGCATTTCACTGTCTGTGTGTGTGTTTGTGTGTGTGGGCAAAGTTTCTTCCCACACCAGAGCTCTGAGCAAGCAACTGTATAGCTTCAGCTCAGCCAGGACCATAAAAGCAAGTCTTATGCTGTAATTATAGTATATAGTAAGAGATAGAAATAGATCTGGTTTGAGTGACGCGCACATGCTCACATGCATACTCATAGACAGACCAGTGTGTCTGTCTGCTGTGTTGTGGAAGGGTTTGAGCAGTATAATGATGGCTCTGGTGGTGGTCACTGGAATAAGGCTGACACTGCACACACACACTTGTTTCATGTGTTTTAACTCTTCATGTCAAACTCATACCACCATGTCCAAGCACAGTAGTGTAGTACAGTAGAGGAGGCTGGTTGTGTGAGTCATTCTCTGCAGTATTTTTGAATGCCAGCACTGGAGGTTCCTTCCAAAAAATCTTCTTGTGTTTTGGCTTGAGCCTCAGTGCTGCACTCTCCTCATTATATTGACCGGTGTAATCCCACTTTTGATCCAGATCCAAATAAACGGAAGTAAGAGACACACTGGGAAAGCACGCGCTCATATGTCTGCCTGCAAATCTCAACCCTTGTCACAGGTGATGAAGACGTACCACATGTACAACACCGACAGCATCAATGCCGAGTCCAAGCTGAAGGAGGCGGAGAAGCAGGAGGAGAAGCAGATGGGCCGCTCCAGTCGACAGGACGACCGCCAGACGCCGCGTTCCCCGGACACCTTAGCCAGCATCAAGAGCGATGAGAAACCTGTCCGACGCTCCAGTGTCAAAAAAATTGAGAAGATGAAGGAGAAGGTGAGTGGGGCCGGAGGGGCTGGGGATGGAGTAGAGTAGAGAGAGGAAAGCTGTTTCAGAGTGCTCCACCTGTTGTTACACTGGCTTACAATTAGTGTATAATAAATGATTTATGAGCCCACGACTGGCTTATTGCTAACCTTGTCTAGTACAGCTGGGGCCTGTCACAGCAACATGGTTCTCCGCTTCTTATTATCCATTATCAATACTGAGGTATTTCACTCTAACACCTATTATCTCTCTCCCTTTCCGCCCCCTCACTACACGTCATTACCCTTCTTCTTTCCTTCTTGCCTGATTTCTTTCCTCCTCTCCTTTACAATCTCTCTTTTACTCCCCCTGCCTCTTCTATCAGAGACAAGCTAAGTACACAGAGAACAGACTGAAGGCCATCAAAGCCAGGAATGAGTACCTTTTAGCTCTTGAGGCCACCAACAGCTGCGTCTTCAAATATTACATCCACGACCTCTCTGACATCATTGACGTGAGTATAAACACACTCTGTTACTCTGTGGGAGCAGCTAACATTTGTAGACATATAGTGTGTGTGTGTGCGTGTTTGTGTGTGTGTTTGTGTGTGTCCCTACATTCTAGCCAGTGGTGGCCCCTTAGTCAGTCTCTTTGCATTAGCTTCAGTGCTCCTAATGAAGGCAGTAGACTGGTCACCCTCGCTGTATGTTTTTCTCTTCTTTGTCTCTTTGCTTCCCAACACTCCTCCGCAGACAGCCAGTGGCCAAAACATCTAGACAGCCTGGAAGCAGTTCATTTTCTGCTGGATAAAAACACATAACTGCTTGCTGGACTGAAGGAACAGTCAGCTGCAGGTGGCACTGACACACTGATGGAGGATCAGTGGTTTTTAATATATTAGTGCATTGTATCACATATTTTATCTGTTAAAAATGTAGACACATTTGCCTTTAGAGCAGTGCACTTGTGAATCCACCTGATGTAACCCTTACACAGTGGTTGCCTTAAGGGTGGAGGGCTTGTGAGCAGAGTAATACCAATTTGATCCCTAAACATTAAGGCCCTAAACCCCCAACTGCTCCTGGGTCCAGCATATCAGATTGTGGTTGTATTGGGCATCATTTAATTACGTAATTACCTTACCATTGAAGTTATAATAGTAGTCATAGAAGAGATCGTATGATATCTGGGCCATATCTGTATATATGTTGATGAAACTGATGGTAGTAGCACTGTTAGTGGCATCTGCTGATATGATTTCTCTCTACTTGATTTATTTTCACAGTATTTGCATTCCATTTGCATGTCTTATGTATTTATTTTTATGTGTATGTGACAGTGCTGCGACCTAGGCTACCATGCCAGTCTGCATCGCGCCCTGAGGACCTACCTATCTGCAGAACAAAACGTAGAGACATCAAAACACTCCGGGCTGGAAACCCTGGAGGTAGCCGCAGAGAGTCTGGAGGCCAACGGGGACAAACAGAAACTGATGGAGACCTACAACAACGTCTTCTGCCCCCCAGCTCGCTTTGACTTTCAGTCCCACATGGGAGACACGGTACAGTTCTAGTGCTTGAGTCATTATTATAAGGTGTGTCTTTTCTTGATGTGTTGAATACATCTGACTGAAGCAGAAGTCAGTGGACTGGGAAGGGCAGAATTTTTTTGTGATGCTGTTATCTCTCCACTGTGTTCTGTGGGTGTAGATGGGAGTGATGTGTGCGCAGCAGCCAGTGGAAAGCGAGTTGCTCCAGAGGTGTCAGCAGCTGCAGTCCCGCCTCTCCACACTTAAGATTGAGAATGAGGAGGTCAGACATTTTTCTGTTTCCTCTAATATTATCTGGTTTGTCTTCCACCCCTCGCAGCTTTTGTCTCATATTATCTCTTCCTTTACTGCCCGTCAGGTGAAGAAAACCATGGAAGCCACTCTGTCCACTATCCAAGACATGGTGACAGTGGAGGACTACGACGTCTCTGAGTGCTTCCACCACAGCAACAGCATGGAGTCGGTGAAGTCCACTTTCAGTGAATCCTATCTCAGCAAGCCCAGCCTGGCTAAACGGCGGGCCAATCAGCAAGAGACGGAGCAGTTTTACTTCACGGTCAGTGCATGCTGTGGTCATTGATGATTTGTCAGGAACATCAGTGGGCTCAAGCCTCTAATTGACAGAGCTATAAGCAATCTTATGATTATATATGAGCAGATGTGTGTCTTTTGTGTGTTTTTAGAAGCTGAAGGAGTTTCTGGAAGGCAGGAACCTGATCACCAAGCTGGAGGCCAAGCATGACCTCATTGAGAAGACTCTGGGAGAGAGTGAGTGGGACTGTCAGAGTGTCCTTCATACCTTTTTAGACATTGTCCTTCTTTCTCGTGTGTGTGTGTGTGT